GCCTGTGAAGTGCTCCCACAGTGACTGGTTTGGATTTGCTTGCCAAATCTCTAGACACTTCCCCAAAGCAAGACTGTATACATATTGAGGGTACTGCAGGAATGCTACATTGCCCATCCTGGCACCCACCATCCTATAAGAGAAAAACCAATCAATGTTTGCAAAATAGATAAGACAAAATATGTCCATTGAAATTCCCTAAGTAAGGCCCAAAGTGCTTGATTTAGGAAACCCAAGTTAATCAAGGAAAAGCTTTTGCTGACAGTCACCCTTCCAGGAGGCACATATGTGTTTATCCAAACTTGATCCTCATGGTGGGGACTGACTTAGAGCACCCCAGATATCATGGAGGGGAAATTATTCCCTTTCTCCTCCTTCAGAGCCACTCTTCACATGGCCCTTCTTCTAGCACCAGGTTTTATACTAGAGATTTGCTGGGCAGAGACTCAGGGAAGGGGAGAGGCCTAAAGGAGCAGAGCTGGGTGAAGTCTGCTAAGGGAGGTAGAAGCTATGGCGGACTCCTCCCAATTCACGCTTTATCCTCAGCTCAGTGTGTGTTTTTAATGTGGGCAAATGTTTATATACATGTGAGATTTTAAGTTAATAAATTATCTCTGGCTATTTTCCCCATGTGGTTTTGATATTGAACTGTCCCTCATCAGATCAGTGGGGCATTGCTTGAAAGCAAGAGCAGAGCCCCAGGTTATCAAAATGATATTTTCTTCAGGGCTTGTTAAAACGACAGGCACATGTGGTCAGCTGAAAGAAAGGAAATGGTTTGCGACATCCTAATAGGTTATCCTGGTGTGGCACCAGCTCTTTCACATCACATGGACACCAAGCCTCCTCTAGGTTGTGTGGTTGCTGGAATGAAATTCCACCTATGCGCCTACCCACATAGATGCTCAGCAAGAAAGAACTATCATAGCACGTTGGGCAAGGAAAAATGGTCCTGCCTAGTTGGCATTAGGTGCTGGAAAAATACAGATGAAGGCTTGAGTGCCTTCATCTGAGATCACATTGGTGGATTAAATTAAGCCACCTAGAGACCCTGTCCTGCCCCTGCTCACCAAGCCAGCCTGGCATCTCTACCTGAAAAAGGAGACTTTGTAGCTGCCCCTCAGAGGCAGAGGTGGCAAGAACAAAATCCTCCCCCAACCAGCTCTCAAGCTGAAAATGAGATCAGCGAAGTTTGCACCAGTTGTCATAAGGTTACCCTTGAGTTTAGGAACAAAGCTGGAGATGAGTGGGGTGAAAGTGATGCCCATCCACAGAGGAAGCATGAGCTGGCAGCTAGAGAACCACTTTCACAGATTACTGACCAGTTAAATGGTTTCTTGGAGTTGCTGTTCAAGCAACAGTTCCTAAGCGCCTACAATTCCATTGCTCCATTCCAAAGTGGGTGAAAGTGATGCCCATCCACAGAGGAAGCATGAGCTGGCAGCTAGAGAACCACTTTCACAGATTACTGACCAGTTAAATGGTTTCTCGGAGTTGCTGTTCAAGCAACAGTTCCTAAGCGCCTACAATTCCATTGCTCCATTCCAAAGTGGGACCTTCTAACCTCTCAGGCTTCAGGTTTATAGCTATTTTTGCCTCTATGTCCACCTCCACCACACACACACAGAACTGGGGAACCACCTTGTCTTAGTCCATTTGTGTTGCTATAACAAAATACCTGAGACTGGGTAATTTATAAGGAACAGACATTAATTTCTTACAGTTCTGGAAGCTGGGAAGTCCAAGATCAAGGCAGTGGCAGGTTCAGTTGTCTGGTGAGGCTGCATCCTTCAGAGGGGCAGAGTGCTGTGTGATCGCATGGCAGAAGAGCAGGCTAGCAAGCTTCCCAAACACTGCAAGACCCCTCTTTTATAAGGGCCTTAACCCCATTAATGAAGAAGGAGCCCTCGTGGCCTAATCACCTCTCAAAGGCCTTTTAATACCAACTCTTTGGCAACACCTGAATTTTGGAGGGGGGACACATTCAAACCATATCACACCTAGAAAATGCTCCTGGCCTATTCTGCCTGCCCTCAACACAATCTCATCATCTTCCAGAATCACAGAATTCTATGGCTTAAGGCCATATAATTTGCCCCGTAAAGCCCATATAATTTATCATTTTCATTTGACAGATGAAAAAAGTTCAGAGAAAAGTGAATTGCCTGAGGTCCCACATCCTGTCAGTGGCAGATCTGGGTGCCAGGCTCATACTCTCCTCACTACAGCATGTCACCTGCCTTGATCTCATATTCCAAGATAAGCCTTTTTTTTTTTCTTGGCCAGTACAGGGATCCAAACCCTTGACCTTGGTGTTATAACACCATACTCTACCAAGTGAGCTAACCAGCTAGCCCCCCGAGATAAGCATTTTTAAGATTCTCAACTAGGACTGAGCATTCCACCACCATCTCTCAGACGTGAGCCCTCACAGACCACTTGGGCCAAGGTGAGCAAAAAATGTTTGCTCCTCAGAGGCTCTGTAGGTTAGTAACCCTCCAGGATTGAGTCCCACCATCTGGAATGCTTTCTGTCCATGGAGGTGGAGGCCATGCGAAAGCTATCTGAAGCAACATTCTTAGTAAAAAGAGACACATCTCTCCAGGTGATATAATGGGTATGACTGTCTTCTCAAAATAATAGAGCTGTTATTAAGAGTAGTTAAGACCTCTTCTGCAAAAACAATGGCCAAAATAAGGGTGAGGCCTCCCTCAATTGGATAGAGGAGGTGGTAGCTATACTAGTATAAGTAAACCAGTAGGTTGGTACTTGGAGTCCAGTAGAAATGACCTATAGCATATGTTGTAAATGGAGCAACCAACTACTTTGTCCATCACCTGCCAAATCCCAAGGCTTGTCCTCAGGTCTTCATCAGTGCTTTTGGCCAGTTGAGTGTCTTCCTTGGGCCCAGGATTATGTTAGGTGGTATTGACCCCACTAGGGAAAGTGGTTAACAGCATGAACTGTGTAACCAAGTAGACCTTGGTACAAATTTCAGTTACCCTGCTTAGTAGTTCAATGATCTTAGGCAAAATATTAACCACACTGAATTTAAGTTTCTTCATCTGCAAAATAGGGGTGATAATGCATCTCTCTCATAGGGTGGTTGTGAGGATGAAATCCACGAGATAATGTATGTGAAGGGCTAGGTATAATATCTGACATGTACAAGTAAGAGTTCCACTAATAGTAGCTATCATCATTATTATTACTCTGAACTTACAAACTATGAAATTTTTAATAACAATAAAACGAGCCATTGCAGTAAATTTTCCAGTGACTGGTAGGAGGCTTAAATGCTACAGTTTTTGCAAATTGCTAAGCTGAGTTTACCTAGGCTTTATGAGAGGAGGAGAAAAAGGAAGAGAGATTTGACCTAGACTTTGGAAGAGTATCTCTGCGATAGGTGAAGAGCAGGAAGGGATTTGTGGACGCAAAAGTGCAAAAGTTGAGTATTCATTAGCAAGAAAACTCAAGATGTGATTTGAAAGAATGGTGAGGAGGTCATGGCTATGGGAGGTACTAGAAGAGAAGATGTGGTTTAATAAGTTGAGAGAAGTATGTTGGACCCAAATTGTGGAGAATGCTAAATTTCAGGCAATGAAGTTTTATCCTTCAAGCAGTGAAAAGCCATAAAAGATTTTGGAATTACTTGTTTAGACATATCTATCTAGCAGTAGTGTCAGGCTCTATTAGAGGGGACAAGATAAGGAAGGTAAGGAAAATAACATCTACTGAGTGTCTACTGTTAGGTAAGGTCTATAGATACACTGTTTCATTTAATCCACAAAGAAACCTTAAAAAGTAGGTGGCATTATCCCCATTTTATAGATGAGAAAATTGATTTTAGGTTAGGTGTGGTGCCTCAGCCACTAAATCATGGAGCTAGTAAGTGGACTGGGAGACTGTAGCTGTCCCATTCTACAGCCATGCTCGTTCTACTGTACAAGTTTTCTTCATGCTACCTTAAGCAGGTGAGACTTTAGTCAGAGATACCAATTGTTATGAAGATATTGCCACAGGCCAGGTGTGAGATTAGAAGTTTGGGGCTCCCCCCCACCCACCCCACCTTACCAGTTGCCTCTTAGTTTTATACTGATAGGACTGGGTAGAAGGATATGTATTTGATAAGCTGCTATTATCAGGCTTTCTAATACTTCATCCCAAGGCTAGATCTTGGGATGAACCACCCATAAGAGAGTTAAGAGCTATGGATCAGACACACCCAGAATCTGCCTCACATGCCAGGGACTGAGTTGGAGAGAATGACTTCAACTGCAGCATTTATATCAACCTTGCTCGATTGAATGTGTGCACCAAAAGAAGTCAGAATCACACTGACTGATGAGATGAATAACAGGGCATTGTGGAGGAAGTGATGAGCAAGGGATGGGAAAAGAGGTCATAAATTGCTCCAGTGGACCTCCCTTAATGTAAACATAATGAGGAGAGTTGATAAGGTGTTGAACCCCAATAGTGGCAATGACAGCAATGAAGGGAAGGATTTTAGAGACAAGAAGTGTCCACAGGCCCCCATACAGTGCTGGTGGGAATGTAAAATGTGAAGCAATTTTGGAAAATAGTCTAGCAGTTCCAGAAAAAAAATTTTTTTTTAAAAGATAACCGGTAAGGGGATCTTAACCCTTGACTTGGTGTTGTCAGCACCACGCTCACCCAGTGAGCTAACCGGCCATCCCTATGTGGGATCCGAACCCTTGGCCTTGGTGTTATCAGCACCGCACTCTCCGAGTGAGCCACAGGGACGGCCCAGTTCCAGAAAATTTTAAGTAGAGTTAATTTATGACCTAGTATTTCTCCTAGATATATACCTAAAAGAAATGAAAAGATATGTCCATACAAAAAATTTTGCATGGAAAATTTCCATCACCTGGTGAATGGATAAACAAAAATGTGATATATTCATACAATGGAATGTTATTTGGTAATCAAAAGGAATGAAGTACATGCTATAACACGGATGAACCTTTAAAAAATTATGCTAAGTGAAAGAAGCCAGTCACAAGAGACCACATATTGTATGATTTCATTCATATGACATGTCCAGATAGGCCAATCTAGAAAGTTAATTAATGGTTGCCTAGGGCTGGGGGAATGGAGGGAATGGAGGGCCACTGCTAAGGGGTATAGGGTTTCTCTTTGGGGGTGACAAAAATGTCCCAAAATGCATTGTGATGGTTGAATAACTGTGAAAATACTAAAGATCACTGAACTGTACACTCTCAACTGGTATATTATACACTATGTGAGTTATATCTTATAAAGCTGTTACAAAAGAAAAAGATGACAACTGCATGTCCATGGGCCTTGGTTGCTGACTAGCCAGTAGTGCTGCAAAGTCAGGAGTAAAATCTTGATCAGTGTCTCTCTAAACTGGACTTGGAGGAAAGCCAGTTTGTGAAGTGTTAAGGTGGACTGAGTCAAAGACTGCTCACCTCAAATCTGGCTATAAAAGGAAGGAGAGAGCGAGAATGGTGGGTAGAAGGGATAAGAAAGTCAGGTGAAAGTCTGGGCTCTCTACAGGGCATTTTTCAAGTTGGGGGCCCTACACTTGATTGAAGTACCCTGATTCCCAGCCTGGGTCCCCAGAATCCTAAAGACCAGAAGGTGTTACTAGTAATCCATGAACAATTTTCCTTATTTCAGAAAGACTAATGGAAATCTTACGTGTCTGTAAATGAATGCTGTACAGGCCATCCATAATATCACTTCTTTACTTTGAACTGGAAATCACTACCTCAAGTTGTGATAACCTTGGTTATTGTGTGGGGATCATCTTTGATTTGTTGACATATCTATACACACAACACACACAAATCTGTGCTTAATAAAAATGGGCAGATAAATCTACACATGTACTTTGGTAAACAAATTGTTTTTCCAACATGGGGCGAATGGGGTTTTCAACAAAGGAGCTCCTAGGAGGTGCAAAAATTGGAAATCTCTGTTAAAGAACAAAAGAGAGAAAAAGACATGGATAGGAAGACTTTGAGATGTGAAACAAAAATTATGTCATAGTGGGGTGATGACCCAGGAGTGACATTTAGCCAGGAAAGCAGGATGGAAACACAGACCCTCTATTTGGAGGGGAGGAATACAGAACATTGGGCATGTGGAGCACAGGCCAGGGGGCACCAGGGAAGCATCAAAAACTCAGGGATCACTGTGCACCAGGTCTAGGCTGGGCCCCATGCACTGTCTTATTCAATCCTTATGAGATGGGGCCTCTTTTCATAGTTTTAAAAGTCATTTCATTATATGGGTTTTTCTCATAAGCCACCCCAAATCCTTTATGGAATGAAATCAGGCATACTATGCACACCTAAAATTTGAGGGTGATTGTTTTTTGCACCAATAATGAAAATGAGGGTTAGCAAGATTTACCAATGTCACCAACTAGTAAGGAGTAGAATTCAAACTCAGAAACGGGGGTGGGAGGGTCATTATTCACTTCCCCTCTTTCCTATTTCCAGTCAATCTCCAAGAAGTGTCAAGTCCACTTTTTTTTTTTGAGAGTAATCATTTATTCTTGCTCACATGTCTACAGGTTGGTTAAGGTAGCTCTGCAGATTTTGGCTGGGCTCAGCCAGGCTTTGCTATAAGTTGCATATTGGGTCTGAGTCTGTTCCTTGTACCAGTGGGCTGTCTGTGGCATGTTTTTATAGTGAGTAGACAAATGTGATGGACAAATCCAACTCCATAAACACATTTCAAGCCTCTAAACCCACTTCTTAACTATTTTTCAAACCTATCCATTTCTCTCTATCGTTGCTGATGCTTCTCTAGCACAACAGTCTCTATTGGTTTTCCTTCCAGATGGCCTGGATTTAACTACAACATGTGACTTTCTCTTTCTGCCTCACTCTTATCTTTAAATGGGGAGCATAATAGAACCCACCACATGGGATTATTATGAAGGTTCAATGAGCTAATACATGTAGAGCACTCAGCATAGAATATGATATGCACCCAATAAAGGTTACCCATTATTATTCCCTATCATGTCACACCCTGGCTTAAAATGTTAGTCTCCCATTGCCTTTAAGAGTTTGGACTTCTCAGCACGATGCACAAGGCTCTTCATGACTCAGCCGCACTGAGCTCTTTAGTCCTCCAGCCCCTTCTTTTCCCACTCTCTTCCTCCTGACTTCTGTGCTTTAGCCACTATGAACTTCCATTAGTTTTTAAAGGCACTGTAATAACCTTTTCCTGTCCCTCTTATGAGTTTTCTCAGCCCTCTGTATATCCTTTATCACAACACTTACTGTGCTAGAATGGCCCATTTACTTATATGATTCTTCCTTTATACTATAAGCCCCAGGATGGCCAGAATAAGATTTCAGTCTTATTCATCACTAATTCCTCAGAACTTGCCATTGGAGGCTCTCAATCATATTTTACCAGATAGGTGAATAGGTAGGTGCATGGAGGGAGGAAATGAAACAGATCTGTGGCTCCAAAGTCCAGCACCCTTTGTACTACTCCAGGCTGCTTGGCAGTTCTCTCTCCAAAGGAGAAAGTGAGGGCCTTACTGAGAGGACTGAGGGAGGGTGGGGCTTGGGGACACCTGCATTACTCCCTCTCCAGTCCCATCTCCAAACTGACTAGCATTTTCTTTCTTACGAATCTAATATTTGTAACTTCCCTGCTTAAAAATCCAAAGGACTCCCAATGCTTATAGGGCAAGGAGAGTACCCCTTAGAGTGGCACACAAGAACTTGGCATCTGGCCCCCACATCTCTCTTCCGCCTTGTCTTCCTCCCTCTGCAGCTCACAACTCTGGGCCATCTCCCAAAGACACACTGCTCTTTCCTGCCTGTGTGACTTCTCCAGGTCCCTCTCTTTTGTTTTTGTTTTTTTTTTTGGTCTTTTGTCTTTTTCCGTGTCCGGCAACGGATTGCAACCCTCAGTGTTGCCCCCGTACCGGACCGGGGACCGGCAACGGGATCGCAACCCTCGGTGTTGCTCCCGCGCCTCGCTCAGCCAGTGAGCGGGAACCGGTCTGTATGTGGGATCCGAACCCTTGGGCGGGAGCGCCGCCGCGCTTCCCAAGCAGTGCACTATCCAGTGCGCCACCGGGCCGGCCCATTCCTTGGGTTTCTTTTAAAACAGCACTGACACGTTGGTAGAGGGGTGTAGTCATCAGGGTACTGGCTGAGTTCTCCAACCTGAGGGGTATAAACAATCTCCAGGTCT